ACAGTGCGGCCACACGCCTTGGTACACGACAACGACAAGCACGGGCTGCGCAGGCACGGCGACCAAGCCCCCTGCCAGAGTTGAGGATGCAGAAAAGAGTGTGGACGAAGTCGATGACGATAGCAGTCGTGGGAGTGACAGTGCCGACACGGAGGACGAGGACAGCGTAGAGGACAGCACTGATGAGGGGCGTGACGTCGACGCCGATGACGAGAGTGATGACGAGGGCGGCGATGGCAGCAATGACGACGGCGGAGACAAGAGCCACGCCGACAGTGAGGAAGCCCCCATTAGAGGAGAGTGATTGCAGGATTTTCTATTCTTGGAGGTTGGACACAATGGTTGCCGAGGGAGGGGTGCTTTATGCTTTCTGTATTTTTTTGCCCCATGTCGCACACCATGCGGAGTCTGTTTTTGCTAGTTTTTCGAGCAGCTTCAGTTTACGGATGACTACCTCGATACTTGTAGCAGTGTACCATTGTAGTGTAGCATTGTGGTGCCCTGTAGGTTTCACTTCCTTTCTGAGTTTGCGAACATAGATTTTGCCATTGTTTGACAGCGCCGGCAGTGCGGAGCACATGGATGGAGTTGTTGTGTTTGACACTGTGTGTGAGTGTGTGTGCGTGTTTTGTTTTTCCCCTCCCCTTCGCATTCTTCATGTAAACTTGCGGGAGATTCTCCTCTTTTGGGATCAGTGCCGATTGTGTATCTGAAATGTTTGTATATGAATGTATGCTGGCATGGATGGAAACACGGAAACATGGATGAATGTATTGGCATGTACCATTGGATGGACTTGTAAAACAAAAAGAAAAAAAATGCTCCGACCCTCGTGTCTTCGCCACTTGGGAATTGGGGTCGGGTGTTTACGAGGGCGGGGGAGTCTGGGGGGCGACCCTCAACCCCACACCCCCAACCCTAGACCCCAGACCCCAAACCCTCGACTCCACACCCCAACCCTCGACCCCGACCCTCAACCCTCAACCCCACACCCCCAACCCCCCCCCCCCAACCCCACACCTC